TAAAAGCATTTAAGAAATTTATAAACACATTTTGAAAAAGCACAAATTGGAAAAGAAGCACCAGAATTTAAAGCACCAGCATATTGTCCATGTGGTTCAATCAAAGAGATTGATATTAATGAATATAGAGGAAAATATGTTGTATTGTTGTTTTATCCATTGGATTGGACATTTGTTTGTCCAACAGAAATGATTGGATATAGTGAACTTGCAGGACAATTGAAAGAAATCAACTGTGAAGTTATTGGAGTGAGTGTAGATTCAGTTTATTGTCATCAAGCATGGTGTGAAGCAGATAAAAGTAAAGGAGGAGTAGGAAAGTTGACATTCCCATTAGTATCAGATATTAAGAGATGCATTTCTATCAAATATGGAATGTTAAATGTCGAAGCAGGAATTGCAAGAAGAGGATATGTCATCATTGATGATAAAGGAAAAGTAAGATACATTCAAATGAATGATGATGGAATTGGAAGATCAACGGAAGAAACAATCAGAATAGTTAAAGCAATTCAATTCAGTGATGAACATGGAGCAGTTTGTCCACTCAATTGGAAACCAGGAAAAGACACCATTGAACCAACACCAGATGGAATTAAGAAATATTTAACAGCACATTAAAACAAACAAGATAATTTAATACAAATTATTTTATGGTTTATAAGAAGAAAATGATAATAAATAAAAGAATAAATATAATGATTTTAATAAAGAAAAGAAGAATAAGAAATACTACACAACAGATGAATTTAAATAAAATGATATATTTGTATAAAACATAATTTAAACACATTGAGTTATAAATAAATAGAAATGAATAAGAAGAAATAACAATTAGAAAAGAAATTGATAATTTATTCAATTCTTAATTCATTTTCTTTCAATATGTTTGTTCACTCTTCTTTTAAATAAATATTTTCAATATTGAATAAAATAATTCAACAAAACATTGATGAATGAATAAATAATGAAAATTCAATATATTTGTAATATTATGATATATTGAAATTAATTATATTTCTAATTCCACTT